ATAACTAAAATAATAAAATTATCTTTTCCCACAAAAATAAACAGTTATCATTATAATCTACAATAGTTTATGCTTTAATTACTTATTATAGAATCGTAATTATCTGGAACAATAAAAAGGATTTTTTATATAAACGATTTTTTTACATATGAAACTAAAATAATCAAAGTAATTGAAATAATTAAATACTTGAACACAAAGGTCGCAGGGATACTCTGTATAAATTTACAATTCGTTCATATTATTTTGAAATGATCGAGTAGTACAATTTTTTTCTATAAAATTTGCCCTTTTTGAAGAGAATAAAAAATAAAGAAAAAATGGCAAGTTTAAAAGGACAACGAAATTTGAAATTCACCTTTTTCGGCAGTTACTTAGATTTCCCACTAGACGGCACTAATGTGACACCTACTCCAAACCACTCGCAAACAAATAGAACGGTTCACGATGAGACTGAAGCGTCGAGTCGCTTGAATCGCCAATTAATCAAGACAGCTCGAGAAACAATCTCTCGCCTTCCCGTGTCAAATAGCCAAATAATAAGAACGAAGCGATTAAAAGAAAAATCCTCTCGAGGAGGACGTGAGCATTTCCAGAGTAAAATAAAAGATGTGAACCCCGACAGAGAAGTCAGAGGCAAGATTTGCATGGCGGAGGGGAGAGTTGAGGCGACGAAGAAAGAGAGAAGTCTTGTGATTTCGGATCACCGATCGGCCGTACCAAGTGGCAGACGCTCGCGTCTCATGACAAGGAGAGGAGCTCTGAGTGTACCGTGCTGCGTCATCGTAGAATGGGTGAGTGCCGCGGTACAAGCCCAATGGACGGACGCGTTCATATAAATAATAATCTATTTGAAGCACGCTGGGCGTGTCTTCCGCGGAAATGCAATGATTCCACGCATGACCCTCTCTATTTCGTTTTTTTTTTTTCCCTCGTATCCTCCGTTAGTATACGACGAAATGACACATCGAACGAAGCACAGTGTGTGACCCGGTGCACACGGTACACACCGGGACCGTTATCGCGTGCCAGAAATTTCGTACTCCCCTCTCTACTCTGGCTTGTCTGTATTATTTTCTATTTTCTCCCGTTTTTGTGTTTCGGTGGCGGTGCTTGTGCTCCCCTTCTGCATAGAAGTTTCGAGTTGCGCCGTATTCTCGTCGTGCCGCCGACGAAAATTCGTTCACTTGATGTTGCTGCAATATTATCGGTGACAGATAATGTGCGTATTTATTATAATAGTAGCTAAGAATGATTATTCAACTTTGGTGGTGGTCGGTGATCGTTGGTGCGAGTTTTCGATACTACGGTCCGAGAGGGTCTTTTGTTTTGAGAGTCTCAGGTGAATTGTGCGAGGTGCACCAATCACGATTTAATGACGAACGATTTATCGATGAAAATTCGCTTCAACATTCGGTTCTATGTTAATTGAGTTAGGTAGTATCAGGGTGTATTTTTGTTCTGTTTTGTGTGGCGGATTAGTTTAAAAGTTGACCAATTTTCAGAAATATGTCTGATAATATTTACAGGGTAATTCACTTAAGTTAACAATTTCTGCACAGTAAAAAAATTATTTGTATTTTAATATTTTGTGTATGCGTTGTTTAAGTGTTAATTTTTTATTTGTTCAAAGACACACAAGGAGGAATGTCCCGCAACACTGGTCCTGGTTTGTATGAATTCCTTATGGAAGCAGAGCTCCAGCAATATTATCCTGGAATCCGAGGTATGCCTTCTTGTCAAATTTAACAAACTTTCATGTTAAGAGTCATGTTTAATAAATTCATTTTAACAGGGGACCTGAAAGTACAGACAACTGCTCAATTGAAATATGTAACAGAGGAAGACTTGAATGCAATTGGAATGAGTAAACCAGAGATGCGTCGTTTGAAAAAGTATTTCCAAAAACATTTCCCTCAGAATTACCTGTCTAAGTTTAAGAAGATGCTGTTACCGAAACGGGAGGAACCAACCACAGGTGCTCTAACTATGTTACCAGAGGAGAAGCAAGATAGACCACCGATTCGTGTTCCTAATAAGCATATGATACCAGCCGATGCAATTATTGTGAACAAAGAATTAGGAACAGGAGAGTTTGGAGTTGTTCAACAAGGTGTTTGGACGAATGATGGGGAGAGGATACAAGTAGCAATCAAATGTTTGTCTCGAGAGAGAATGCAGAATAATCCTATTGAATTTCTGAAAGAAGCAGCCATAATGCATGCAATAGATCATGAACATATTGTAAGATTGTATGGTGTAGTCTTGGATACAAATTCCTTAATGCTCGTCACGGAATTAGCACCTCTAAGATCACTGCTAGAATGTCTGAAAGAACCTAGTTTACGTACTAGTTTTCCTGTTCTCTCTTTGTGTGACTTTACCGTACAGATTGCAGATGGAATGCAATACTTGGAAGCAAAACGATTAATACACCGCGATCTTGCTGCCCGAAATATCTTGGTGTTTTCTAAGAATAAGGTGAAAATATCTGATTTCGGACTGTCTCGTGCTTTAGGAGTTGGAAAGGACTATTACCAAACGAATTTCAACGTAAATTTAAAATTACCAATAGCATGGTGTGCACCAGAGTGCATATCTTATTTGAAATTCACTTCAGCTAGCGATGTGTGGGCCTATGGAGTGACTTTATGGGAGATGTTTAGCTATGGTTTTCAACCATGGGCAGCACTGACAGGCCACCAAATCTTAGAAGCGATAGATGAACCTAACTTTCAAAGATTAGAACAACCAGAGTGTTGTCCAAAAGATTACTTCTCACTGATGCAACAGTGTTGGCAGCATGAACCATCCAAACGCCCTAAGTTCTCTGAATTAATTAATCTTTTGCCTGATTTAAAACCAGAACAGGTTCAAGCTGTTCAGGATAGCACAGAGATAGGTCAACTTGTCTACAGACAAGGAGATGTTATTACTGTTCTGGACAAAGGAAGTAGTAACATGTTATGGAAGGGTGTTTTAAATAATGGAAAAACTGGTTTCTTCAATCCTGCTCACACAATAGCATATCTTGGATCAAATTTACCAAGCAATAAGCCTGGAGAATTTACGCGTGGCGATGGAAAAAATGCCTTTTCCTCTCAGCGAAGAAAGATTCGGACAGATATGATCTCCTCTCCTCAGGGTGATTTAAAACACACTGGCCATGTCGGATTAGATGGAGCTTATTTTGGTGACATTGGTTTTCTTGGTGGAAAGTACCCACACTTACCACGACAAGTGGTGACTCCGTACAAACCACAGGAAGATGTAACGGACAATTCTAGTCAAGCTCTGAACCAAGATGCAAGGAATACAGAGACTAACAGAGAAGTATTAAGGGATAACAGGAGTGTACAGCAAGACACTCATAATAAGCATGGTATGTATTTATTTTGTGATAAATGTGTACATTTATTCATGAAGGCTTGGATGTTATGAAATGTGTTTTCTTTATTAGAAAGTTTGTGGTCTGATGCAAGTTCTGAAGTATGTCATGTGGCAAATTCGAGTAAACAGTCTGTACCATTGAACGTGGCTAGTAATAATGATACTCTTGGAGCAGATCATGAATATCATGAGATCAGTGACGAAGAAAATCAGGATAGCCCGTTAAGATTCGACAAAACGTTAAATTTCGACTTTGGTCCAAGTTTGTTGGCTGAAATGGATCAGATGTTTAGATCATTAGGTAAATTAAGTGACTCTATATACACTGAAACTGTATCAATATCGCGTGATATACATTTATGTTCTTTTTATTAGGATCTTCTCCTCCTCCACCACCCCCTGTTCATCCTTTATCAACTGAGCACGAATCGAGTAATGTTAGAAACGAGCTGAGGGAAATACAAGCGAAACAGGGCAATAAAAAAAAACAAGCCACCGTGAGTCCAATAAATGTACAGTAATTTTTGTCTTATTTACTATTATGCTTTTACGTATTAGTTGTCGTGTTTTATTTTTTTTCTCTTTTTTTCTTTTTTTTCTTTTTCTTTTCTCTTTTTGCTTATAATTTGCTGCTGTGTATATCTAGTTTTGTTTCGCGTTAGCATTCAAGAACAGAACTAGCAAATACATATATATTGTTATAGATACAAATGTGGGTTTTTTTTTGTATAGTAAAATAACGTTCAATTGAGGAAAAGCAGAAATTTTTATGTATTGTGCATTTACCAGAGATGGTAAACATTTCTCTTATATATTTAGGTGAAGCCTATCTCAGCTGCCGATCAGAAAACACTCTACTCAGCCATTGCTATGGCACAGGAATTGACAGCACGTTCCATGACAGATCTTGAACATCCACCGGAGTCTCCCCGAACACCTGCCAGTCCTTCAAGACGCAGAAAGTTCTCTTTTAAGTTGCCACATCAACACAGTCCCAAACCCGACAGACGACACTTTTCAGAAGAAGCTGCCAGTATACCTGACATACAGGTACATTAAACATTTTTTGTTGGATCACCAAAATTTCTCTAAAGGTTACACAAATAACATAATCAAGAACACAATCTAAATTTGCACTTGAAAGTTTCACTAATTTACTTCTTGCTAATACTAACAAGCAGTATACAAAAACAAGTATCCCTTTTCTACATAATATGAACATAAATGACAATTCATACATCTGTTAAATATGTTCTCTTTTGAAAATCCATTTCTGTTGATACTGTTATGGAACAGAGTTAATTCCTGATGCCACACGAAAGAAGAGTAGGTATATCGTTCAAACGTATCTGTTCTTAATATGCCAACCTAAGTTACTTGGTTGTACCATAAATTGATACGAAGCTTGTTAATTTACTAAAGGAAGACTAATCTCGATTTTCCTCTAATCCCTTCCTTTCTTGTTTATTTTTCATTTGTTTCTGAAATTTTCAATTTTTCATTACCGGCCATTTCATCTTTTGTTCTTCACTGCATCGCCATGTTTAAATAATTCTTTGATTTCTGTTAACTATTATATGTAATCATTAAAACCTTCATTAAACTTCTTTTCTGATGCAACGCTTGCTGTGGTTGTTTGAAAACGTTTAATGTTCCTATGCATGGTTGTGTTTCTGGTCGTCGCTTGTTATTTATCATTTCCTTGAATGAATTGCACATTATTTGGCCATTGTTATCCAACAAAGTGGTTATGTTCAAGCTTGCAATCACTGTCATCTACTGTCTCTAGTATAGAGTCACTTGGTGCACCATCCACTTTAAAGTTACCATTGTGGGATAAAGCATCTGCTGAATTTTGTTTCGCAAAGTCTCGTGAACTTCTTACAAAACCTACTGCGTGGACTTCGTACATGGACATAGAATTCGATGCTCATATCCTGGACAATGCAGCCACGAAACAGAATCTGGTAAAGTCGACTGAGTTCTTGGAGAACGGTAACAAGAAAAGCGGCTTTAATTGTAACAGTATGGCAGATATAAATGGGAAACTGAATGTCTTCCAGCAGAATGGAAAGATGCCTCCTGTAAGTATAGAAAACTCAAACTTTGACTTTCCTCGAGAGCAAAAGAGAGTATCCACTAGCTATGTGGATCGTTACTTTGAACAGCCAAAGTATTTTGATGATGACAGCATCCCAACCTGTACCAGTGATAAAGTATCTTATTTTGGTGAAGAGAAACTTGATAAATATGACAAAATTAATAATCTAGAACAGCCTGGCAAATCTGCATGCTACTTGAACATTCAGGAACAAAGTTCTGTGACTGTGAACAAACATAATCAACAGCTACAAGGCAAGTTTAGTAATTGTGATCAGCCACTGAAGGATAATGTCTCAAATTTTGAGTCAAAGTGTGAAGAGAATGCCAGTTTCGACCTGATGAAAGAGAAGTCTTCGAACTTTGCCGACTTTGCACGCAGCAAGGCGATCAAGTTTGATTCTTCTAGGGATAAGGTGCCTAATATGGATCTTGGTACCAGACCTAAGATCTCCAGTTCATTCAGCGATTCTTCCAAGATGAATGCACCAGAATTTCCAAAGAAAATTGACATGTCAAAAGCGAGGGGCGGAAAAGTGCCATTCGTTCCAAGAAATCCTAGTCAAGAAGGAAAGAGCGTTATTTATGGGTCCACGGATAGCATAAAGACCAATTTGAAAGTAGCAGGTGGATCAGATAACTCCAGGGGAAACATGGAAGCTGTCAGGATCAACATTCAGAGTTTTCGCAAGATTGAACAGAACCAAAATGGCCATGAAGGTTTTCCATTCGTTATATCCAATAACCCATTGTTCATAGCAGAATCTGAAAAAAAGGAATCCCCAGTTTACAGTAGTTCAGAGAGCTTAAGAGTGAATTTTCAACGACTCCGAAGGAAGTCTGACGCAGAGGCAAACAATCAAATGGAATTGAGCAGTAAACTTCTTGCAGAGAAGTATCAAAGAGAGGTGTCTGGTCTGGAAAGTGTAAAGAACTATCTGGACTCAAAGAAGGGCCATGGATTGAACTTGGGTCTGGGTAAACTGACCCAGAACATGATCCAGCTGGGCAAGAACATTGCACAGAACTCCCGAAATATAGAGACCTTTACATCCAAGTCGTTAGTCACCAACATGAGAAACTTGGATATATCTGGCTCAACTCAGACACCTCTTCGAAGCTTGAACATTCCTATTCAGAAGCCCAAGCATTTGGACCTGAATATTCCACTTCAGTGTCAATCGCAAATCAGCATGAAGGTGAATCTGACTTCACAAAAGACCAATCTCCCTCCATCAAGTCCCAGTATACACCAACACATTCTGGAGCCACCTAAACTGTATCAGAATGACAATACGAGGAAGGATCTGCCAAAGACAGATGCACTCCTAGAGAAGATGTCTGCGGCTACCAATATATATAGACACAGAACATCTTCCCTGTCAGAGAACAGGAAGCCACCCATAAAAAATATAAGAAGGTCTTTTCACCCAACCAACGATTCCAGTGAAGATTCAGACTCCATTTCGCATTCTGAAACGGATATAAGAAGTCGTTTACGTTATAAACGTCGTCATAAGAAGCTTCCACACAACCTACGTTTGAATTTCAAGAACAGAGGCCACTTTTTGCATCCAGAAACGGCCAGGGGGTTCTCGTCGATAGAACTTTGTGGAAAATCACCACCTCCATCGACCAGCTTCTTGAATTCTTTGTCACCGCCTTTTTCCTCTAGAAATAACCTGCTTTCTTGGCCAGAAAGTGCCCCCAGTTCTAGTTTAACATTCACTAGCAATTCTGACCTGGATTCTGATACCAGTTCAGAATATCCAGAATTCACAAATGACGTACTCACCTTCCCACCATCCCCTGCACCATAAGCATTCAAGATCCCCATTGATCTATATTGCTTTCAACTTAATCTGGAGCCTGATACCTGTAATATCATTGGTCTGCTAGGTGCATGTTCTTGGCAGAAATGTGTGGGATGATGCCAGAGTTGGGCAGTATTTTGATCTCAGAGTATGTTTTTTTCTTTTGTGCTGAATTTCATAGTTAATTAACTGAAGTAGTAATTAAAACAGGAGCAGGTATATCATATTTCAAAGATTTGATTTGCAAAGAACCTCTTGTCTCATACAGTGTCTTTATTGATACACAATAGCTGTTTCATAAGAAATTCTCCACACATTGTTCCAAACAATGAAAACATAGTCCTCAATAGCTTACACATTAACGGCCAAGTAGCTGTTATTTATTATTATCCAGACTTTCTTCTAGAATCATTGCTCAACAGTGACGAATGGCGATAAACGACGAAAGAGACATCGTATTCTAGGATCTTTGAGTACGGATCACATTAACCCCACACAATACCCAACTCTGGACAATACACAGTGTACTTAAACAAAGAGTTGTCCAAAGGCAGTTCGTGTCACATACGCTTAGCATGCTTGCATGTTACATAATTAATTAACTGAATAATAAACGTCTAGTTGATAATAAATACGTTTGGATGCATTTACACGTTTATACTATTTGTACTTGGAGGGGAACCGGAATGGGAGTATGTTAATTTTGGAAGTACACATAATGCGTCGATACAGTTTCGTACCCTACGTACACAGAGGCATACATACATAATACAAACACTGACACATATTGCATTTATTTCATTTAGAGTAGCATAACTGTAGGCCTATTTGTCAAATGTACTCCACTCAGCCCCTTTTTCATCATATTGATCTGCACCGTGAGGCACCAAAAGTGTGTTCAGGATTGTTCCCCACATGCTTGTGGTTTCCTTTCCAGTTAGAGAGGATCTAGGTTCATTTGTACACGATCTACCAAGAAATTTCTCCCTCTCTCTCTCTCTCTCTCTCTCTGTGTCTGTCTGTCTGTCTGTCTGTCTGTCTGTGTGTCTGTCTGTCTGTCTGTCTGGCTGTGTCTGTCTGTCTGGCTGTGTCTGTCTGTCTGTCTGGCTGTGTCTGTCTGTCTGGCTGTGTCTGTCTGTGTCTCTCTCTCTCTCTCTCTCTCTCTCTCTCTCTCCTTTTATTTATTATTTCGTTTTTTAATTTTTGTTCTCTTCTTTCCCAAATCTATCCCCTCCCACGACTTGTTTAGGCTACGTTGTCGGACGAGGCCAAGGAAGTCTACAACAGCCTCGTAGAGACGCCCAGCATAGAGACCGCCTCAGACACCAATCCTCTGCGCATGCTACGTTCTGGGATGCCCATTGTTAGGCCTAGAATACGCGGGAACAAGCACGCCACTCTGAGCCACACGATATCACACCAGGAGGACCTTTCTACGGACCAGCTCCACTTCGACGCCTACCACAGTGGTTCTAAGACCTTGCCCAAGATTAGAGCACCTCCGCCACCACACGCACCCCCACCTCTGCCACAGGCTAGACACCTGGAGAGACATCATTCTGCCCTGGAAATAGAGAATAATCAGAATCAGAGCAACGTGGACGAGAATCCCATACCTTTGCCACCTAGGGATAGGTCCAAGACGCTGCAACCTAAGTCCAGCTTACCCAGACATCAGAGGAAGCATCCCTTGATCATACCTGGTGGAGGAGTAACAAGAACTCTGGCCAAGATGGCAGTTACCACACCCCCCATTGAGGACCAGGTAGATGGGAGCCTGCAGAGCACTAGTTCATCAGTAGCCAGCAGCTCACTGCAAGAGGGTTATTCTTCAGAGACTTCAGCCAATAGGTACAATCACTCTCTGCAAAGAATTAATTACTTGTTTAAAATTTTATTGGTAATGTGACCTACATTTTCAGTCCCGAAGAGTTCGAGCAACGTATAGACTCCGAATTAGCAGCGTTGGATTCCCTACCAGCTGATGAGACTAAGTTGCACCGCTTCAGCGTTATTTCTGAGGATCTTCTCGAATTCTCTGACAATCTCATTGATTGTGACACTCAGTACAGTCAGAAAATGCAGGAAAGCAGTGACGTACAGTCCACTGACTCCTCGACGGAACGTCTTCAGAGGAAGGTCAGCGTGGAGTCGAAAAGCTCCCTTAGGAGCTTAGCATCCAAGTGTGTTCAGGAAAATGAGGCAGGTGAAGCAAGCAGAAACCCCACTCCAACGGGTTCTAATAAGTCTGAGGACTCGGTGGTCTCCAACAACAGACTTTCAGCTTCCAAGAGAACTCCTCTGATTCAGAGACCGTCTAATTATATGCTGCAGTTCGATTATGGAGAATACTCAGAGAATAGCTCTCAGCCTCGATGTAACGCGAGCAAGCAGCAATCAGAAGCGTCCAAAGAATCCTTGGCTACAGATTCAAACGACAGTTTTCACTCTGCTAGTCTGACTGGTGATCTGTCCAGACAATCTGATCATGTATCCTGTGAAGATTTACTGGAGTTTGCCTGTGACGGACCTAACGCGAGAAGAACACGTGGCCCAAGAAATGGAGAGCAATCTGATGAGGTTAGGATTATGATGAAAGTACTGCACGAACAATCCACACCAGAATCGTGCATAGCAGCATTAAATGTGACAGATTGGGACGTGCTGGCGGCCATCAAGCTGGAACGTCTGCAGGGATTGCTGAAAAAGGAAAACAACTTCGTTGGTTTGGAGGATTGCAAGGTTATGTTGAACCAGTGTGGAGGTGACGTGGTTAAGGCGGCTGCGTTGCTGAGAAGCACTGACGACACTGCCGCTGTTTAATTTTTAAGAGAATATCTGAAAGAATCTGAGACGTGAAAGTGTTTTTCTTTTTTGGATAAAACACTGGTCCACCCGTATTGGGGTTAGGTTAGCATTTTCGTGAATACAATACTTATTTCGTTATCTGCTCGCGCATAGACTAATTCACGCGATGTTTTATTTATTATGTTAGAGTTAGTTAGCGCGAGGATGTAGTATTCTAACGCCAGAAGTTAGGCGCTTTGATAGAGCTTCTGCGAGGAAATGATGTGCACGATGATGCACCAGAAACGAGAAAATTGATTACTTTTATTATTAAGAATGTTCAAGATAAAAGAACGTTGTAGATATTGTTTTTCGGTAACTTAGAATCGTAGAGGGTGAGACGATATAGGTTAGGATATCGAATCCAGGGAGCTGTCCATTTTGATTACTTATTCAAATTATTTTGGACATTTCTGCACTTCAATTTTTCCATATTGAGCAGTTTTCCGTTCCTGATGGATCAATCTGTATGAGATAATAGCTTTCTCTTTTTTATTTAATTTAACTGTTAGGGAGCGAGAGAGAGAGATAAAGAGATAAATTATGTTTCTTCCTCTTCTAGTTCGTCGTATAACACGAACGTAATGTGATAATTTGCACAATAAACGTATCGCTGATCAGGTTTTTTGTGATCGGTTAAATGCATGTGGAGTTTATATATACATATAGCATCTTCAGTTAGGCGAACGTTAAGGAAAGGTATTACGAAGCATACTTTGTATCCTAGCGTGATATACAGTGATCAAGGACTCTCTATTGTATAATAGTGCGTTTCATTCATCATATTTTTCCTCATTGAAAAAAAAAACGAAGCAAAAACAAATCGCGTATGTCGTATGAGACAATCATTTAGTACCGTTCGACGAGCCCTAACTTCCAGAAAGAACTTCCAATTTGAAAAATTATTTATATACTTACCGTTACTTTACGATATACTTTAAAGAAAAAAAAAGAAAAACATTTTTACTGCTAGAAGCAAATTTTGATTCCAAAGATAATATTCGTACGGTATTATTATTTGGTTATCATACGCACCACGTAGCATAGTATCACATGACAAGTTTTCACTGGAACACCCGTCTTTACATTGTGGTGATTAGCGAAAACTACTTTTGGTATCTGACAAGTGGTAGATCATTAGATAAATCATGTATGCGTAATTATTGCTGGAAATTAGCACAAATGGGAGAGAGTGAGAGAGTGAGTGAGTTAATGAAAGTAATGAGAGAAAGAAAAAACTGCTTGTTATGATATTGTACTACAATCCAAGATCCAGAATCCTGGATGAGAGAATTTTTTAACAATGCAGAACCTTGTAGCTCATAGTAGTAGAAAGGAGTGGGGGAGCAAACGTCCTTTTTATATTTTGACCCGGTAGTAGGGTATGAATAAGCACCAAATATTACATATGGAATCTTTGTGTTCAGTAAGATTGATTTTTATATTTTGCTAGAAAGAGAGAGAGGGGGGGGG